ACTATTTTCTACATCATTTAGACAAAAACCACCTCATTCAGAAATTCAGAATTGTAAAATCCTTTAACAGGCATTAGCTATGGCCTGAAAACGTCCTTTCATGGCAAAATCTTTAACTCCTTCAGTCTAAGCTGTAATAAAAAGTGCCAAGTTTACCAAAAAGTTTAAGAGGACGAATTCATTAACGTCATATTTGAAGACACAATTTTTTTCAGTATTTTCCTCTACTGACACTACAATATACAAAGCAGTCCAAGAAGCTTTAGTTATATATGAATTCAGGAAGTATTGCTTTTAGGAAAAAGAAAATGTCTTTTAAATAGACACTCCAGATATTTAAATTATTGTATGACAGAACTTAAGAGAAATACAATGTCCCATAACTACTACTTTATAAAGCAAGTCAACCTGTAGCAATACATAATGAAAACTTCTTAAGTTAAATTCTAAATCAATTTAAATAGGCCTGTACCATGTGTTCCAAGAGATATTTCTGGTTAAAAAAGTACTTTTATTTACTTAAACCTCCTAAATGGCAGAGTCGAATTCTGTTAACATCTTACAGGCCAAGGATAGTATGCTTGCTTTTGTCTAGTCCGAAGAAAATATGTTTATTTTGACACTTGGAAGACCCCATGCAGGTAATTTATCATCCAAGTGCATAATAGGTAACCTTGTCCACCCTCTGCATCCCACCGGGCATGTGCACACAGGAGGTCCTGCCAACTCACTTGGTATGCACAGGGACAATTAATTCATCTCCCAGTACTAAGCCCTCATTTCAGATATCAACACCCTCGTGGAGAACCAAAATGTAATGACTGTAAAGTTTTTACTGACCAAACAGTAAATTACACAACTAGGTAATGATATGCACTTCCGTTAAAGAGAACCAAGCTCTCAATCTTTCTCTAAAGATCAACACATTTCAGTAAATGTCATCACATATTTTATCTTCCTCTTTCTCTCTGCCCCTCCAAAAAACCACCACCACCACCACCACCACCACTAAGCTAAATTCCAAACCCTTCAGTCCTGTTTGTGCAAACAGGAAATGCCAGAAAGTGTAAAGAACTAGGGTCCAAACAGCCATTTTGTGATGGGTAACTCAGAACTTAAACTGGGTTAGGGGTCCTTCACTTTCTCTCACTTCCATCCTGCCCCAGCTTCCCCCCTTACAAGCATCAGACTTTTCTCTCCCTTTTATGAACATCTACAACTACAACTTGGGATAGAGAAGAGGCAACACTACACATCAGCAAACAGCTTGTGGGGATATCTACGAAGCAAACTTAAGCTTTTTTGAGGCCTGATATTGGGAAAGGTGTTTCACAATTAGGCATTACAACAAAAAGAGTTGTTGACAACTACTGTTGTACAGTGAGGTAACCCAAAATGAAAATATGGCTTATTACATAATACCTCTATCCATCTCCTTTCTCTTTGACCCACTGCCACTTAATATGAGGAAGGAATGCAACATGCTAAACATGGGGAGGGAGAAAGGCAACGATCTGGTTAGGGTGAGGAGGTAGTTGTTATTTTTCACTATTAAGACAATTTAATTCCTGCCAAATACAATTATGCAATCCCAGCATCTTCACAGAATTTTAAAACTGGAAGAGCCCTTACAGACCATCTGGTCCTACCCTCTCATCTTACAGAGAAAGAAAACTCAAAACTTAAGCCCAAGATCAACCAGTTATGTAATGACAAAACTGGGACTTCCAACTCTGTCCATTAAGTATTTTCTTTGTCATTTGCACATATAAAACAATTTCCCAAAGTTCAAAGTTATAGACACAAACATAAGTGAATGAATTGCTGCCTATAACATAAAACGTGCACATAATTTCAAATTTGTTATACAAAACATAGGTCATACTCTTTGCTGTGTCTATACCTATAAGAGCTTTGTGCCAATTGGGACAGGTGGAGGAAGGCGAAAATAGTTAAGGGGAAAATGTAGGAAAAGAGTAATAAATAGCAAGCTAGGGGAGATAATACAATCAACAGACACGGCTGTTGGGATTAACAGTTACTGAAAAGACACGATTGAAAAATGGAGCAATGGAACTGCTTCCAGAGGGTTCTCACCCTGCAGTGAGAAAAGCGCTAAAGAAATAGCAAGACAGGAGCAGTGTAAAAGTGCTGGAATGCGTGTTACATAAGCCAGCTGACTGGAGTGATCAGAATTCTTGTGGCATAAGGTAGTAGTATCTGCATTTAAACCAGAATCCCAGATTATACCAGGGCAGGTGACCCTTAAGGGTACATTTTGAAAAACATTGGTCTTTGGGATATTGTGGTCTAGAGGCGTTAAAGGTATTAAAAATTCTTGTTCAGGAGTTCTGCTCTATAACTAGCTTTACTTGATTCTCTCAACCAACTAGGCAAGGAAATGCCCCAGGCAAACACACGAAGACTGATTCTGTGCAGAAGCCAGGCAAACTCGGTGGTTACCGTACATACAGTCACCCCAAGGAGACAGAGAACATTATGTAATCACTGCCTAAGCTCTAAGATGAAGAGATCAGTTGTTCTTTCAGAAACGTCTGTTATCGTTAAGTTTTTCATTTAGCGTTAAGTGACTAATTATAAGAATGCTACTTTTAATGTAGAGCAATATTTTGTCACTCACTGAAGAAAAGAAGTCTTTGAGCCTATAGCTCGAAAAAGAATTAGTTATTTTGTATCTGCCAATTCATCCATGACTGCTGTGTGGTTACAAAGGAAGACTCTGGCCCTCACAGCTTAGCTCCAGTATTTTTCTTTGGATATGGGGATCCAAGAAAATAGAAATGGAAAACAAAGCACAGAGCTATGAATGGTTACTTTTTAACCACTGCTATGAGCACAAAATTTGAATACAGTGAAAATAGGAGAAATCCTGAAAATCTGAAAACAGGGTCACCATTTCAGAAATGACAGAAAATGTCAAAAGTCAGCTTTAAAGCTGCTTAGCAAATTAATTGTTTTTTGTCTTGAGTTTCAAATCTCCTTCACTACAGTGGAACAGAGAAAAGCTGTCTGCAGTGACATCATCCGATGCTTTCTCCCTCTCTCTTTTTAACTGGGGGAGTTATATTTGCTCACCAGATTTTTAAAAAGATATATAAAAGGATTAAATCTCTCTCTCTATATATACATAAATGTATTTGAGATTGCTGTGACTGGGCACTTGACTAGCAATCTATTTTAGGTACAATGAATGTTAGATAAACACAGATCTAAGATAATAATTTGCTACTGGACTTATCATTTCTGCATTCCAAACATTTTCTTTTAAGACCAAGACTTTTGCAATGGATTCGGGAAAACAATACCAATACCCAAACTCTTCATCCCTTTAGGGAATCAGTTTACTGTTTCTCTTTCAAGACAAGGCAGTCATTTAAAAATCAACCCCTGATGTCTGTAAGGGTTTTTTTTCCCTTTATTTTTTTAATTGAGGTAAAACTGGAATACAACATTATGTAAGTTTCAGGTGTACAACATTATAATTCAACATCTGTATACATTACAAAGTGATGACCACCAAAAGTCTAGTTACCATCCATCACCATACGATTGACCCCCTTCACCCCTTTTGCCCAGCCCCAAGCTCTTTCCCCTCTGGTAACCACCAATCTGTTTTCTGTGTCTATAAATTTGTTTTTGGTTTGTTTGTATGTTTGTTTAGATTTGTCTGAAATCATTCGGTATTTGTCTTTCTCCCTCTGACTTATTTCACTTAGCGTAACGCCCTTAAGGGAACTAGAACATTTCCAAAAAATAAGTACAGGCACGTAGGTTAAGATTATACTCTCAAACATTTTTATAGTAGAATAGTGGCCTATTTTTCAGCAGTAATTTTCATTACACTATATAAAAAATAATGCTTATTTCTCATAGCTGCACACAAATTATTGGGTTTTTTTTAAGTTAAAACTAAGTTTACCCTACATAATAGGTCTTGAAAAATGCTAACGAAAAAGTAACTTAAGCAACGTAAATAACTTCTGCAGTTAATTTCTACAGGATTGAATTTGTGCAGCCTAAAAGATGAGGTAGAAAAAGGCTGTGAGGCTTTCCTTTTTAACTTGAGACAATTACAATCATATTTTAAACGAATATTATTGTAAGCCACTAAAGTTAGCACAATTATGGTTCCACTCCTGATTTTTACTTAGATCTAAAAGGAGGATTTTGCAAAATAAAAGAGAATTTTATAAGGGACAAGTTTCTTACGGTTAGTTTCACTTAGCGTTAGGCGGCCTCATAAAGATGTGATATAACTTAAAAGCCAATTGTCAGTTTTACACTAACTTCCACACAGTAATTACTGATCTTTACCGGGAATATTCGTTTTAATTATAAAATCAACAGCCAGAACCTACTCTGAAGGCACCGTCACCTCGCTTTCTCCCCTCACCCGCTCCCTCGCCTCCTCTCCAGACCCCACCGTGAAGTTCACCTGCCGAAACCGAAGGCCCGTGGAAAAAGGAGGTAAAGAAGAAAATGCTTTTAAAATTAAGAGGCTTACAGTAGCTGGACTTAGTCCAAGCGCTGTTCAGCCCAGAAACGAAAGTAGGAAGCGCAGAGGTTTAGGCTTGTAATGATGTCAGCCATTTTAGGCACATTATTTATACTGGGAAGGAAGTGCCAAAGTCTGTGGCGGTTTTCGTTGTTTTGCATGTTACCGCAGGTCCCCAGGGCGAACGAACCCAGTCTCGGTCCCCTGCACATTCCCTCGAACGCACCAGGGACCGTGAACTCGGCACAGTTCTTCAATCCTGCTCTCTCCGGGCTTCCCAAGCCCCCGATCCCGCGTTGGCACCGTTTCCTGCACACGCACTTCCTTACAAAGCAGCAGCTGAGGCCGGACAAGAAAGGGGAGCAGCCCGAGGGAAGGGAGAGCTCGGCTCTCTCGGGGGCCGTAGGCGCGCACAGCCGCCCCGCCCCGCGCAGCTGCCCCGGCCGGCCCGAGCGCCCCTCCCCGACCGCCCCGGCCCTCGGACCTTGCAGTCCACGGCGACGGCGTCGGGGGGGATGATGAGCGCCTCCTCGCCGCTCTTGGGGTCGTCCTTCTTGGCCTCCTTCTGGGCCAGAGCAGAGTTGAACGTAACCTTCACCATGGCGCGGCCTGGGGCGCCCTCGGGGAGCGGAGGCGGGCTGGAGGCGGGGGCTGCGGGGTCCTGGCTGCGGCGGCAGCCTCCTCGGCCGGGCTCCGGCGCGGCTCAGCGACGGTTGAGGAGGATCCGCAGCTCCGCAGCGGCTGAGGCAGCGACTGCGGTACCGCTCTCGCAGCCTCCCAGCTCCGGGGCGAGGGCGGAGGCGGCTCGCGCACCCTGAGGGCTGGGCGGGGCCGGAGGCGGACGGACAGGACTGGTGGAGCCGGGGGCGGGGGCGGAGCCGGAGGCGGGCAGACGGGACCGGAGGAGCCGGGAGGGGGCGGGGGAGGAGGCGGGGCCGGAGGCGGGCAGACGGGAGGGGCGGGGCCTGGCTCCGCGCTAGACCCTGCCTTCGCCCCAGGTCCGACGCCGGTCGGGCCGGGTAGGGAGGGGCACTTACGGGTGAGGGCCGGTCGGCCCCGTGAGCCACCTGGATTTTCCAGTTTGAATTCGCTTCCAACCACTTTACCTCCGGCCTCAATGTTGCAGGTGTAGCAAAATCAGGTGAACTTTCCTGGGTTCGCCGCCTACATTGTCTTATCCTCTGGCAGCACCAGGCCGGCCCATCCCTGCCCGTTGCCCCCACCGAGTCTAAAGGCCTTGAAATTTGGGGGCGTCCACACCTCCATTTTCTCACTTCATTATGGAACCGAGTTAGTGGAGCACAGGAAGGTTTCATGTGCTCTATCCTTGTGGTCTGACTTCTTTATCTTCCCTGGACCACAACCAAGGGCGTTACCTGGCTCAGACTTGCCTTGTCTTCTCACCCTCCCTTGGAAGGTCATTGCCCTGCCTAGTCCCAGAGCACTTCTGAGGAAACCTCTTGGCAGATTTGCATTTCATACATTTCACATTCCTAAAACAAAATGTTCCATTCTTGTGCAGATTTAGGCAAAACCCACACGCACACCAGGCAGATTTGTGATTTCAAAGCAAGGTACTCGATGATAAGTCCTTAGCAGTTTTGTGCAAAAATAAATAAATAAATAATAAAGGATAAAGTGAAATTCTCATATTTTGAAGAGATTTCACTTACAACCAATGGGAGAGAGGACACTGAGCCGCAGTGTTGCTGGGTTAATGACTGTCAATAGACAGCCCTTTGGACAAATAGTTGATTTTGTACCCTTCTCCCGCCCCACTCTGTCCTGGTTCAACCAGAGATGTGGACGTATTCTAGACTGTTTCAGCTGTGTCAGCTCTGCCCTGGGTGAATCCTGAAGAAAGCAGGTTGAGTCTGAGGTCCTTGGGGTCTTGGCTCTGCTCAAGGAGGGAGTTAGGTCTCTACGACTCTCCATAGAATCAGACCACAAATCCCTGAGGAACAGCTCAAGATCTCAGCATCTTTCAGATCGTATATTTGCAAGGGCCATCGTGGACTGAGATAGAATCCATGTCCAGACTTTGAGTCTCCTAAGGCATTCTGAAATTCCAATGAAAATGAGTTGTGTTCAGTTGAGAATAGGAAGAGTTGGATTCCAGTTCTCGTAAATTCTGACCCTAGCCAGTCATATGACTTGTAGCTAGCCAGCAACTTATTTAAACCCCCTGGGCCTTACTTGTCCAGGGGTCAACTCTGTGGGGTGGACTCTGAACTGGTATAGTTTCATAGATTTCCTGAGACACTACAATTGAACACTAAGGAATTCTGGACGCAAGATTATATAAATGATTATGCATCTATCCTTCCTGCTTCTCTTTTTGTTATGATGGAATGCTGGAAAAATACTCAAGGCATTTTGCACCAGATAGATTTAGGGAAGAAAAGAAAACAAATTCTTCTTGAACAAGACTATTAAACAACTTAGGAAACTGAGGCAAAGGAAGGATAAAGGAGTTTGACAGAACTGGAAATTACTACCCCCTGCCCCCCAGAATTTCTATTCTAAAAGACTCAGAATAAAAGACCATTCATTATTTTGTGTACCAGCAAAATCAGCTGGCAAACAGTCCGGGAATAACCTCCTGGTTTTGTTTCTCCATTTTATCTGGTGTGTCTACAGAACTGTGTCGTGCACAACAGCAGAGATAATAAAGAAGCTGGATCAAAACCAAACATAGCAAATCCAGTCTCGTGACTTATAAAAAGTTTCCCAATGACCCTTGAAACTAAGGAGTGGGGGAGGAGAGTCATGACTAAACAAAAGAAGTTAAAAACATAGTCTCAGTTACCATTAACTACTGGATGTAGAGGGAATCTTAGGAGACCTTTGCTTTGCTTTTTCACATTGATTTTGAGAGGAAGAAGACTATTTTTAAAGTGATCCTAAGCTTTACATTTCACCGTGATTTCTAATTTTATTTTTCTGCTTAACCAGGAGGGAGGAAAAAATGGAGTCAGGGAACTAAATTCAAGAATCTTAGATCTTTTAGATTTGTGTGATGTGCTTGAAGACGGACTTTTTTTCAGGTTCTTTACAGCTACATTCCTTCTGTTCATTCTCTCTCCTTCAGAGAAATTTCTTGAGGTTTAGCAGGATGATGGGAAAAACACTTTTGCAAATATGGGATCCTTGGTGAAACAATATCACTGAATATGTCCTTTGAAATGTACTTTTGATGCCTTCCCTCTTAACCCGATGTGTGGCTGAAGCTGGGCGTCTTGTGGCTTTGTCTCAGCTTTGTAAAAGAAGTGTTTCTTCTAGGCAAGAAGTGAAAGTTTCCACTTGCCTCTCTTTAGACTTAAGCAAGCACTGTTTTTCTCTCTTCTTCATAACTTTAGGTATCCTTTATTGTTTCTAAATTTCTTATCTCCCAAGTTTATATTTTTTACCTCCACCTTGATACCGTATGTGTTTTTCAATTATTTTGTTTTATACCATGTCATTATTACACTTTGTGAACTGGCTGAATGAATTTTTGGGTAGGTTTTCTTTTTCTCACAGGATCTTGGGGTATAATGTACCAACCCTTTGGGGATTGTCCTAATAATAAATGCAGTTCTTTTGATTTGACTGATTGTGGCATTTGGGATTTCTGTTTTGTTTTGCTTTGGTTGTGGAAAGACTGGATCTGCTCCACGTTGGTGCTTTAGTCTTGTGGTTGCCATCCATTGGTTTCCCTTGTCCAAAGCATGGCTTCCAAGTGCATCCATGCTTAGGATGTATCTCTTCATGTTTAAAAGAGAGGGAGAGAAAAAGAGAGAAAAGATGAGAAAAATTAAAAAAAAAAGAGTGAGAGAAATGGCAGAAAGACACAAAGAAAAGACAAAAGACAGTCCAGTGGACAGAGTCAGTTTAGAAGACCTGAACCCCAGTCTTGCTTAAACCTCACCATGGCTCATTTTTATCAGTAATAATAAATAAACCAATTGTTTATAGTATGATACTGGAGTCTAAGATGATCTGGAGTGGCCTGGTAAGGTATCATAGAGGAGGCAGGATTTTAGTTGAAGGAATGGAAAGGATTTGGATGAAGAGACAGGAAGAGGAAGAACAGCCTGAGTGGAGGAAACAGTGTGAAAAAGAACATCAAGACCTCAAGAGAGGACTAAGCAAGGAGAAGAGCAGCCTCCGGCGGAGGGTATACGCCGAATAATTGTGGGGAATAACAGCTGGATGGGGAGGACAGAGCCATAAATCTCCATGTTGAGTTAGAATAAGTAGTGCGGAATTTTTCCTGAGGGGATTGCTGAAAGTTTCTGCAAATAACTTGTTTAAAAAAAAAAAAAGAGTCGCTCTGTAAAGATTAATCTGGCATTCTGGGTGAATGAGAAACAAGAAAACACCAAAGACAGAGAATTTTCAGGACTGTTGAAACAGCTTCCCTCTTTTTTTAATGAGGATAATGAGAGCGGTTTCTAATGCTCTTTTATTTATGTTAGAAGAAAGGGTACCATATAAATCAACATTACTTATAATGTAGAATACAGAGAGAGTGTGTTTACAAGTCAAACAAGGTAAAAGATGTGTGCACAAAGGCTGACCAAATATCGTAAAAAGTCTGCCCTACTCCAGTTAAATCTCACCAAGTGTTGAACCATTCTTCATCCAGGGAGGCTCAGGACTCCTGGGCAAGTGGCGTAGAAGTGCTGCTGTTGTCATAACCATTATTTTGGCAACACGGATTGTGGGGGGAGACACTAACAATTCTCTCTCTTGACTGCATATATGCATGCCCTCTCACCCCAAAATGTATGTCAGGGTGTATACGTATAATCTCTATAATCTAAGCTTTTCAAGGCCCTCTATCATCAAGCAAACCTTGGGTCCGCAGTGCACTCTCTCCACTCTATCCTGGCCAGCCTTCAATATAAGAATTTGCCCTGCTTGAATCTTTATCAAAATCATTACTCTAATACAGAGAAAGCTGGTAGTTTGTCATTTCAAATCCAATTTTATTATAACAAAAGAAGAATATGAAGCTAGTACTAAGAAATTTCTTTCAGTGAGTTTCTTAGATGCTTGATTAAATTTCCAGATGGAGTTAGTACCATCTTCTTTTTTACACTTTTCTAAAATCAGATAAATCTAATACAAATAGTAGGACACATATAGAGCAACTGAAGGCAGAGTCCATCTAACACTGATTTTTAAAAATGTGTTAATTACCTCAGGATCTAATTAAAAGTCTCCATGTCATTGCTAAATATTTTTTTCCTTACTTTTTTAAACTTTTCCCCACAGCTGGGACAAAAACCATGCTGACCTTATGTGAGTTCTGGTGAATTATTTAACTTTCTGACACTTTAATGGTATAAAAGAGTATCACCTAACCCTAATTCTAAAAATATTGTTTAAAGTGTAGATACATTCATTAATGGGACACAGTAACATACATTATCTCCTAGAAATATTTTCATAAACTTAACTGCCAAATAACTTTTAAATTAATTTGTTTAGACCTTTATGAGAATGACTGAGAGAGTTTAACCATGGTTTCATAAACCACATCTCCAAATATTTTCGTATACTATATCTTATCTTTCATATATACTCATTAATTACATCTAAGGCATAATGTGCAATTTAAATCTAAGTCAAATAGAAAAAAAAAGTGCTGGGCAGGAAATCAAAAACCAGACTTGGCTGGCTTGGGAAACTCACATTTTTGGAAACCATAAATGTGAAGTCTCATGTTCTCAGACTTAATAGCTGGAGGACTTTGCCTTGTGTTCAAACAATGTTCTAGCTAATGGAATCAAAGTCCTGGAAAAAGACTTCA